CTGTCACCCCGCGACGAAAATGAAAAAATTGCCCGGCTCAAGCTGCTTAGTGGCTTGCGGAAGGCCGAAAAGGGCCGGGAAGAATGGAAGAATTACCCATCCCCTTTAAAAGCTTGCGTTTGGAAAATTGAAAAGTCTGAACGAGCTGGAACCCAGCATTTGCATCATGTAGGATGGCATTCAAAAACCTGGCATGGTCCTTGTCCATGATGTTTGGAAGGGCAAACCAACCAGACACCCATTGGTACCAAGTGTCTACCCTTCTGTTTTGGTTCTCGATTAAAGGTTTGGAGCCCCATTCTGAAAGGGTCTCTCTGCAGCTCGCCGAACTTTGCAAGACCAGGTGAAATTCATCTCAGAGGTGCGGTCGCTCGCCGCGCTTTTCCTTCAAAAAGGCTCTCTCCTGTCATTAGCTCCTGCCAGGTGTGTCTTTGTTTTGAGTTTGTACCCTTTTCTGGGTTCATGACCCATTTCAAGACAGACCCGAGCAGGCAGCCTCAAGGGCTGGATTCCTGAACTGATGTGGAGACCGTGGCTGCTCAGCCAAGGTCTCGTCACTTTAAACGACTCAAAAAGCTGCACCTTTCCCAATCTGGAAGACACCTTTTGGGCTACGCATGCGGCACGTGTCAATGCATGGTTACAAACAGGCTGTGGAGAGCGCACCTTTCGTGATACTTACTGCCACGTAAAACTCTGAGTAAATGACAACTCCTCAGCACAAGATAAGGGGTGCCGAACATTTTGTGACCCTCACCCATGATGAGGTCGCAAACCCCTAGAAGGTATAGAAGGTCGCCGTGGTTTGCGAAAATGGCGCACCTTCTGTGATCTCGTTTAGTGGGATCTCGTTGTTCTACGACGTTGTCACTTTCAAGGAAGTCCAACTTGGTACTGAAAATGGCTGGCCAAGGCAACTCATTTCCACAACTATGCATCAAAACACCACGGAACCCTTTCGGGTCCGATTGTCAGGGAAGCAAATGCAATGACACCATTTGGAGGGGTGCAACTCTTGCCTATTCACACGCGCGCCCCTAAAATCGAGATCGGCAGCTTCCAAGTGGAGGGTGTAACGGTGTAACCTTGGAGGGGGGACCCACTGATTTTTTCGGGTACTCTCTACTGGGTTGGCGACTTTTCGGGTGGCACCGCTTTAAAAAGGTCAACCTTTGGTGGGGCAAACATGGGGGTGTCTTTTGTGAACCCCCCAACAAGAATGTGGTTTCCTTTTGATTTCCCCTGTAAAACCACTGAAAAGAGGGGGTACCCTCAACCGAGACTCGCACAAACACACCCACATGATGCATGAAAAGCGTCAAAGGGGCGCTGTTCCTGTGGTGTCCCTATCAACCAAAAGCGGGGGGCCGCAAAACTCGGGGACACCCTCACAATGTCACTGCCTCTCGCGCCGGTGAAACTCAAAGCGGCACCCACAGGTTGCTACTGCCAGCGGCCGGATTCCCTGCCTTTCCAAACAGCAGTCTTCCAAGACGTGTCTGTGCACTTCCATGCTTGGGAGGGTAACAGGAAACACAACCCACATCTAGCAGTCCGAAGCTTGGGCAACGTGTGTTCAACTGAGGTCTGCTACCCAGAGCAACCCGTGAGATGCGCGTCCCCGTCAGGCCGTGCTCAGCCACGCCTGCACGGGAAATGGCATTCTGACACTCCAGCAGGGTCCAAAGTTGGTGTGTTCGTGCCAAGTGATTCTTACACACGATATGGGAGTTGCAACAAAAACTCCCAACCTGGGCCTAGGCTGTTCCATTTGCTCCTCCATTTTCACATGACAAGTTGAGGTCCATAACTCCAGGAGAAAACTAATTTGCAGGCAAACCCATACAATAAGGTAGGCCTGAAAAGGGCCACCCTGGCCAAAGGCTGCCAAGTGTAGGTCGACACAAAAAGTGGGCCTTGCCTCAGTCTGTTTGGATATGTTTTTTTTATCACATCCGCATTTTAGGGTCCCAGAGTCTATTGACGGCTTCACTCTTCGTCCACGGTAAACATGTAAGACGATGTCAATGCAGGACATATCTCCCCTTCTACCTCTCCTGAAACATGTACGAAGCCACACAAAGCCTTCACGTCTGCGAGGATCTCCTGGGTGTGTGTGTGTGTGCTTCTCTCGGGGCCCGGAGGATGCGTGCCATTTGAAGACCAATCCATCTTGGGGGCGACAACCACCAGCAGCATCCTTGCCACAGGAAGTATGACCATGGCCCGCACGAGGTGAACCTGACTGGGGGTTCCTGTAAAAAAAATGTTTCTACTCTCTCCAAATGCCTCCGCTTTAAGGGATCTTGAAAATGGTAGCATGTTGGTCGCAAAGGTTCTCAAAATGCAAAATGATGCACCCCCTTTCTGGCATGCTTTCCGGGGAAGCCACAAGAAATAAACCATTCTTTCCGGGGCCCCTATTTTGAGAAACACCAAGTCAAGTCTTCTCAGAAGCCTACTTGCACTGGGGGGAACAAGAAGATAGCCTTGACTTTTGTTGGCTAATTTTTCAAAGGGGAACCCTTCCCCCCCCCCAAAGAAAGAAGGAAACACACGGGTGAAACCCACTTGGCAACCTGGGCAACTCCAGGCCTTGAGCGCCGCGTCCACACTCTGTTTGGCTCCTCGCATCCGTGCAAAAAACGGATGCGGAGGTCTCCCTTACGTTGGTCCGTCCGTTGGGAAAGTGGGAACAAACAAGTCCAGTGGAGATCGATTCCTGGAGGGGGGTGGGGATTGGTTGAAAAGAACCTGGGCCAGGAACTGGTTGGTCGAGGTCGGTTGTTCAAAACAAGCCCAGGTGGTCCGCAACATTCCTGCAACCCCCTGAAACCCTCCAGAACCCTTGAAGCTGCCCCAAACCACCCCAGAGCCCACCTGGGCAAAGATCCCATAGCTGTCGAGGAGTGCCAACGAGCCTCGACGTTGTGATTCTAGCGTTCTCAGGGGTCGCTGGCTCTCTTAAATCACCGACCAAAAAATAAACACCTCAAATTGGCGGCCAAAAAGCGGTCTCTTTGAACTGGCAGGAAAACCATTGGGGCGCTCAAAGTCAGTAACACGCATATATCTACCGTCCGAGAAAAAAAAGAAGGCACACAAATCTGCGGCTTTCCCGTCTTGGCAAATTGGGCAGCTTGCCGGTGCTGAGCAGGCGAATTGGAATGACCCCGAAAAAAATAAAAATAACACATCCAACTGGGGGGTTCCTTTACGGAACCGGACCCCCAAAACGGTTCATCCCGTTTCTCATTCCCTATCGCACCAGCAAGGAAAGGGACCTTTTGACCTTCTCCTTGTTTTTCCCCCGTTTGGTCGATGTTTAGTCCAGGTTCCAAGTTCCAAGAGGCCGTGTTTAAGAAACAAATCCAGGCCCTTTGGGCCCCAAAGGGCCCACCCCGAGCGAGCAACGCCAGTCCTTCGTTCAGCAGCGCCAGCGTAGCGCGGAGGCCCAGCCCGTCCCCTCAGCGACAGCGCGGGGCTGGAAACCCCTCGCGAGGGCTACCACTTTTGGGTTGACTTGAAAGGAAACCACACGGGTGTCGCTCAAAACAAAACAAAGGTTGCGCAGGTTTCAGATTTTGGTTCCATCTACCAAGGTGCCATTTTAGTACATGTGTTTGAGCCACAGCCACATGGGAAACCACTCCCCTCCAACAGCACCTGTCGGCTTCATTGAGAGACTTGTCTTTGGCTGACTCCAGGGATCAGTCCAAAATCCTTCAACTGGGAGTTCTCTCGGGGCATCGGCGCTTTCGCCACCTGCGTATTCCAGGAGTAGCAAGTGGGTGTCATCTATAGGCAGGGGGCCTCATTGTGTTGGTTTCCCAAATTTAAACTTAAGCATTCCCTTTGGAAATATTCTACCTCTGGGTAGCAAGTCTGACTCGAGGGGTTCTCCACTGTTCAGTTACCAACTATTGCAGAAATTAGAGAATTCCCCTGGAATCGCGCGTTCTACCCCCCAAATGTAAGCTCAATAGACTTTGCGTAGAACACACCTTTCCCGCAATCTTAACTGTATTCGGGATAAAGTCGGCCAACTTATCCACAAGTGACGCATGGGAAAAAATCCCGAAGCCTGTTGGTTGGCCCACAAGAACCCCCTCGCACAACAACTAAAATGAAGGCCTCGATGGGAAAGGTCAATGGAATACCGGAACGATCCGGATAGGGAGATGCTTGTTGCTGCCTGCTAGGGAAGCAAGTGAAGCTTGGCCTTATTTTAGAGGGGCCTGGACACATGCGTCCCCTTGCAACCAAAGGACTTGGAAGGCAAAGGAATCACCATTTGGCTTACCACCAAAGGCTTGATCCACTCTGGAGAGCCCACTGCACAAATACAGCGCTTCTCCAAACAGACGGGGAGATCCTAGGCATGCTGGGGTCAATTTAGTGACCGTCTCAACTCTTAAAATGGTGAAAAGCAAATTCACGCCACGCCAACTTGTCAAAGCCCTTGAAAACAAGGTGAAAACAAGGCGAAACATGTGTACCAACTCTACAAAGCACATGGCCAGCTTCGACCCAACGGACCAGCCACCCGCGGCCATTTTCTTCCCGCCTCCTCTGGGATGCAGCACCTGAGGCAAAAAAAAACGGGTTCGGCAAATATATACCCCCGAGAACGGCGGAGACTTGGAATAGGGGGCATTGGTTGCTTCTCGGCCAGACAACCTGGCACTCAGTCAAACTGCTGCGCCGCTGATGGGTAACATCATCTAGAGATACCCAGCGTAAACTTAGGAAACCACGCGGAAACAGGAAAATTGAGCAAAACAAAAAGACCACCAAGACCACCGCACACACCCAAAGAGTCGTAAGACCCCGACCCCCGAAAGGCGCTCAGAAAAGCTCGACACAGATCCTTAGGCCAAGCAAACTCCTTGGCGCTGAAGTCATCCAAGCGACTCTCACGCAACTTAAGACCAGACATTGAGTAAAAATCGATCAATGGGCGCGAAACTGAGATCCGCGCCCCAAAAACACGATGCTGA